TAAAATTGAATTATGAATTTAATACTGATATTTATGTGTTATGGAAGATCTCATTAAAAAACAAGGATGTTTTGCATAATTGATACAGAATTTGTCATGTACACAAATTTAAACATTACAGAATGTCATAAATTATTTCCGATTCCCTTATTTCTGCGACAGTTAGATTTGCGCTACTTTATGAACTTGAGTTATCTTATTATAATCTTTTTTATTTTTATAAAAACACTGCTGGTTTCATATGTTCATTCTCTCGTTTTGCTTTTCACTTGTACATTTTTTCACACGCTCACCCACTCATTCGTTTGCTCGCTCATTCACACGCTGGACTCTTATTATACATCACGGGTTAATGACTCAATTTTCTACACTGTTTTCTATACTTCGGATGAGCTACAGTCGTTCCCAGTTATTTCATGCATTTATGATCTCAAAAATTCGCGATAAGATGACGATTAAGAATGCAGCTCAATACTTGAATGCTCGGAAGCTATTAAGACTTTACGTGCGTGAAATACTACATACATAAACTATATATCGATTTCAGTATAAATTTATAATTTATACTGAATGCAATGAAGAGAGGCATTCGCAGCAATGCCGGACTTGAGAATTTGAATTAACCTTTATTTCGAAAACATGAAATTTTGATTTGTCTCAACTAAATTATTTATTCTTAATTTAGCAATTTTTTTATTGAGAGTTTTGCTATTATTCTTTCTCAAGCTTGCATTCCTAGGTTATCATTCAAATTATATTTATTTATTTTTATCAATCTATTTCTTATCAATTTATTTCTATCAATATAGAAAGCTTTAATCTAATTCTAAGAATTATAGAGAAAAATAAAGAGTAAATATTAAACCGAGATTAAAGTTAATCTGCATTGATAGAAATGAATATTAACCTGTTATAAGTGGAGATTACTTTCGATGGTAAAGCGATCGTCAGTTTTCTTAGTTTAGTTTCTAATCGTTGAGATTAGATTTATGAGATTTATCTTGTTACTTTCCATTTTCATTTCACTTGGCGATCTCGCGAAGAAATTGATCAATAGTATCGATGCATACACACAACAGGCGCGCAAATACAGATTTTTTTAGAATCTTTATATATTGACGATATAATGTAGCGTTCTCCACGCATGCTTTACACATGACGGATCTGCGATGCAGGAAGCCGCTGCTTAAATTTAATGTTCAATAGACCGTGTGGCTGGACCCCCGAACCAAGCGTTTTAATGCCTCGTTCAATCGGGACGAGACCGAAATGCATTTGAATAGAAATCGGAATGGCGACGCGTGCCGATCACATCATCTCTACTACTATTTCCGTCTCGACTTTGATTCTGCATTATGCATGGAAATCATAGCTTATTGCGCTAGAAAACAGGTAGTTAATTAACATTAGTCAGGATCGTCGAATCACTATTTGAACACGATCGCTAAATATTTTCAAAAGATTTTTGCACATTTATGCTCTCTATCAATATAGATTAATTTTAATCTTGGTTCAACTAACCCTTTTAATTTTTAGAATTAGAAAAAGATGAAGAGTTAGTTGAGACTAAAATTTATATTGGTAGAAACAGGCAATGTATTTATATAATAATCTGATATAAAAATTTTTTTAATAATTATTAAATTAGAAAACACGTATAATTATGTAATTAGTGTTGAAAAATCATTTTAAATTTATTAATGCAAAAATTAAGGATCCTTTTTTTAAGAGAAAGAAATACTTATGGTGATCATACCTGTTGAGAAGGGGCACGGTGCGTTTCCGTGATGCAACAATCGTCTGCATGCGTGTAGGAAAGGCTCGACTTCCGAGTACACTGTAAATAAATATGGGCTGGTACTGTGTGGTCACGCATCGAGAGCTTCGAGTTGCATATCACAAATGTTAGATAAACCTAGTGTCACATACATCCGTATAGAAGATCACTGGTGATCGATCAAGCGGCTCGAGATGTATTTTTCCTTCCGAGGTAGAAATCTAACATTTTCTATCCTGACTTGAAATAAAATTATTCGGCAATGTAATGTCTTGAATTGCCTGGAATTAAATTTTTCAGAAATAAATTACAAGATGAAATGCTGACAAAAAATTAATGCAGTACATCGAGAAAAATTTATGTTTGAAAATGAACGAGTCAGAAGATTTTGATCGTATCATTAGAATTCTAATTATCTCGATCAGAATTATAAAAATTTAACCAGAAAATTCTGATTTGTTCAATTTTAATTAGTATTCCAATTAATACAACCGAATTCTTTCCGGTCTAGAATTAATTTTTGCAAATTTAT